TATGAGGGCACAGAAAATGGAGAAGAAGCATATGAGAACACGGAAAATGGAGAAGAAGCATATGAGGGCACAGAAAATGGAGAAGAAACGTATGAGGGCACACAAAATAGAGATCTCGATAAAAGGAGTTCAAATGTGGAAAAGGTGAACGCAGTAAATCCACCAGGTACACCTTCAGAAGGCAATATGGATGGAGATGCTGTAAACATCCCAGGGGCTACGGATACGTCTCCTAGAACAAATGATTATCAGTCGAATGACTTGAGTTTGAATAATGAAATACATTCTGCAGATGGAGAGTTTCGAGGTTCATATGAAGACTATAACAACTGCAATCGTGTGTTACCTTATAAAACTTATTATTTTAATGATATGTCATCACGTCACCCATTTTCTAATACGAAGCCATATCGAGCTCAACACAGTGAAGTACCACGTAATGATGATGATGATGTCAAGGATAAGGATAAGGCGTGGCGCTTATTTCATAGTCGCAGCTTAAATAGTCGTCGTTATACCAATGGACCATTTGTATCTTCCAGAAGCACCAAAAATGAAGTTTATTGTTGGGACCTGGGGGCTATTACGAGTGAGATGAGCCCCGTAAAGGATCAGACCGAACAGAAAGCAGAGAAAGACACAGAAGTTGATAAACGTTCCTCAACTCGGGAAGTCGTACCAGAGCAGAAATGTATAAAACAGGAAGAACCCTCTAAGAGAACACCCACGTATGAAGTTGTTTTTGAATCCATCCAGTTTGACACTGCCGATAAGACGCAAAATTCTACGACCTCTCCCGAACTCAGCTTGTCTGACTTGGATGTAACTTCCTTGTATGAGGCACTGGGATGCGATGAAGCCAACGGAGCAGCAGATGGGATGGGTTCTCAGCCACCTTCAAAGGCTGAGAAGAGATCTCTTAGCCCATCCCTTGAAACCAAATGGTTCATTGAATTTACAGATGGAATCCTGTATCAGGAAAACGAACAAATCCAAAGACTCTCTTCAGTTCGTAACGAATGTGATATGGACGGGAAAAATGCAACGACACACCTACATAAACATTCCGGCCCGGAAACTGATGAAAAGTCCAGAGAACTTGGAGCCGTACCGAAAGAAATAAAAACATCTACTGACGATCCAATTCTGCTTGAAGACCGAATACATTCATTGGTGGCAGTAACCGACAACGCTGGCTCCAAGGTCACTCTAAAGGAAGCTGAAAAGAAGGTCACAGTTAAGGACTCCGATGGCAAGATGGTTGATTTTGAGGCGGATGAAGTGTTACGCGCGAGCAAGGTGACAGCTGAAAATTCCATTCTGCTAAAAGAACTTCTCCAACAAGTGGAAGCAAGTCACAATGTTGCTCTTATCTTGGCTAGCACCAAGAACGCTCAGGATACGAGCTTGGGTGTTGCACAGACATTCATGAAAGCCATCATGGCAAAGCTTGCAAAGGATGAAGGGGCGAAGGGGCTCAAGTACCATGCTCATATGACTGCTGTCGCGATGCCATCACCTGACTCTGCCCGAGACTTGTTCGCCAGTTCATCTGCACAGGCCAAGCCTGTTCGCTTTGGATCGAACCCTCTGTATGGTGTCTGTCTGTTAAATCTCGAGGAGAAATCAGTGAAGAGCGAAAAGGACGCTGAGAAACTCCTGCAGGGTGCACTGAAGAAATCATCAGACACGAAGGAGACAGTTGTACTACATATGGTTCTTAAACGTATCAAGAAGTCGTCTGGGGGGAAGGGTGATGTCTACCTCTCGTCTGTCCTGTTGGTTTTTGTCCGGGAGAATGCTGATTATCTTGCTGGTATTTTTAACAAGGATGAGAAGGTCGTGCCTGTGCCTCTATTCAAGGATGTTGTCGGAGGCAGCTGTCGTTCACTTGTTGTTACTGCCCTCTCTGGGAGTGATGCTGCAACAGAGGCCAAAATTCTCAAGAATGCTGAAAAACTGCGTGGTGTGAAGACCAACGCTCCACGTAGCGGTAACCTTACCCGTTTTATGGAGTATGCGAGTGAAAAAGTGGCACATCTGGAGTCTAAAGAGAATAGAACTTCACGTGATCAACGTACCTTAAATATGATGCGCAGCATGCTTGTTGATATTGATAGGATTAATTCTGACTTAAAATGGAAACAGCTTGTGTACCCAGTACGATCTTTACATGAACTTGATGATTGGGCAAGCGTAAGCGAAGATGGGGATAAAGGTTTACTTGGGAAAAGAGATGTCTCTGAATCTTCCTTGGGTTCATTTGAGGAAAGGAATATTAATCGTGTTGCCGTGGTAGAGAATACTGGAGTTGACGTTACCAGTTCAACTCTTACTCTACGGAATGGTAAGGTTTACAGGATGGAAGAATGTATCTACTGCAAGGGTAGTGCAAATGATGGTGTGCATTCTGCTATCTTGAGTCGTCTAACAGAGTTGTTTTCTGCTGGAAACAATTTGGCTATTCTAGGCGCGAATATGTCATCTGGTGCTGCAACACAGGATCCACTGATTTGGAAGTCATTGAAAGATATTCTTAGTTCAGTTGTTGAAAATTCAATTCCTAATATAATAAATATGCTGACACTGCGAATGTGCCTTGTTAAGGGTCATAATGTTATAGGAGATTTGCTTGGTAGTGGAGATGAGATGCCGTTGTCACTACTTGTCTCCCCTTTATTCGGTCCTGTTGTGGATGGTATTGAGGTGAAGGAACTCAAGGATTCCACTGAAGTGGATAATATTATCACCAACGCATTACAAAGGGCATCAGAGTTAATGCAAGATGGTGCAGCTGTTGTGGCTATAGCAGTCCTCAAGCAGGTTCTGGATAATGATGTGCGGCTCGCATCTCTTTTTGTGGCCAGTGCGCAGAATTTGGATGCGTATTACTACAAAACAGGAAAATACTCTAAACACCCCCTTGCACTTTTTGATTCCTCTTTTAATAGCCCTTGTATAACTACTGCAGTATTGACATATGATTATGCTAATTCTGAAGAGGAAATTGTTGAAACCTCACTCAACCGTATGGAGAGCCTTGCAGTAATCAAAAGGCCCTCAATAAGACCGGGGAGTGTAAACGCGTTTATCAAGAATGCAAGATCTGCATTATCCAATCAATACAATGTGGGTTTTAATGGTTCTGAGCAGTTGGAGTTGGTTTTGGCTGATCATGAGCGGATGTTAATGAATCCCCTGAAAGAGAAACCTATGGTTTACCATCCAGAGCAGTTCAAATATCCAAGGATGAACGTTACTACGGTGGCAATTTTAAGAAAGAAGGTGGAACCCCTTTCAAGTGATGATTTTCCTAATGTCCTCAGTTCAGATTCTGAAGCATCTTCTGGTAAAGTGGAAGATATAGACTCTAATGTTGATGAATTCTTGACACTCTCTAATGGGGTAACGGCAATTCGTTCAGAACAGCTTCAGATTGTTGAATCCGTATTTGAAGGAGGAGGTAATGCCGCTGTGTTATTGGCAGGCATGCAAGGTTCCAATGTACCATCTCATGTCATAAGGCATATTGCACACAACGTTTTAGTAGATACGTTATCAATAAATAATTTGCGAATGTCTATGGTGGCTCTAAAGAGTGATGGAACTGCGAAAGACCTTTTGCGAGAAGGTGGTACTTATGAAGAATACACAATAAATGTATTTCCACATGTTGGTCCACTTCTAAATGGTGCTAACTTGGTTGTACCACCACCTGATGCAGCGAGCCTTGAGAAACATCTGGGTAATGCTTATCTGGAATGTATCGCGGAAAAGGCTTTACTAGTTGTAGTTTTCCTTAAGTACTCCACACACGAGACTGATAAATGTAGATCTCTAAGGTCTTCATTGTTGCTTACTTTAGCAGGGGAGGATCTGGAGCCGTATACTACGGCCCTTTCCCGGGAACCACACGGGTTAGGTATATTTCAGTACGCTCTTGCTGGCCCATGTCGCACGGTAGCGATCTTTGGACTAACAAAAATTGATGGTGAGGTCGCATCGGAGTTCATGAAAGTGCTTTGTAGATTGCGCTATGTTTTGAATCCGGTGATGGTGGAAGAGAATCTCAAAAACTGCGAGGAGACACCAAACTTAGTGGGTTTTTAAGAGAGCGTTGAACGGGGTGTGGGGGGAAATCATAATATGTGGTGGGGACAAACTGAAAAGAAAAATAAAAGAAGTCGTGATATGTGACGGTCGTCTATTTTTTTTTTTTTTTATTTTGTTTTATATTTCTTTGATTGAGAACGATAGGATTAATGCTGATTCCTCTCTGTTTTTTTTTTTTTTTGTCATTTCCCTTATTCCCCTTTTTTTTTTTTTTATTCCCTTCTTAATGTGATATTATTGGTATTTCATTCCATGGTTACCTGTACGTTGCTTAACTCACTCAACTTCTCTGGTGGGAATAGTGATTACAGTAGTGCAGCAATGTTGTATGTGAAAACGAATAGAGAACGTAAACAATGTGTATTAATTGTTATGCTTTCTTTAAGTGTTTCTTTTTTTTTTCACCTCAGGTGCATTTTCCTTTCTGTCCCTTTATATATGTTGATGGTCTTTCTACTTTTTATTGGGCCTTTTTTTTTCGTTTACTTATTTTTTTCTTTATTGTTTCGTATACTTGTGAGAAAAAATTGAAAAGCTTCGGGGATGTAGGTGTATAGTGACGCTTATTATTTCCCCCGAAGAAAAACGCACTCCAGAAATACAAGAGAGTAAAAACAACAACAATAAAGAATCTAAAGTGGTATGCCATTCTGTTAAGAATAGTTTCGTTGTTTTTGCATATTTGTGTATTTTGTCTTCTTGACCTCTGTTACACTTCAATTTTATTTGCAGTTGCTGATAAAGATTCTCTCACACCTTAAGACGTACATATGTACACAGAGGCTGTAGGAGAATATCATAATAAAATGAAAAGAATTTTTGTTGTGCTATATTGTTCTTTCACCTTTTCCTCCTTCTCCTCTATCACTCTTTTTTGCTCATCATCCTTTTTTTATTATTATTATTAAGTGGTTCTACTAGCACTACTCCCTCAAAAAGGAAAAGCAGAAGAAATGCGACCCTCTAACTCTCAACCACCACCAGGAGCGGCATTACAGCAGCCCCCAACAGGATCAATTCTTCAACGTCAGAGTTCCATTCTGAAAAAGGAATCAGAAGCGAATGGCCCCACTACAACAACGGGTGGGTCAGGTGCTCCGAGGGGTTCTGCACCTGTATCTACTTCCGTCGGGACCAACGGTGCAGCAAATCAGCCGGGCAGTATCCGACCATCAAATGGTTATCCAACTCAAGGTCCTAACCCTGCAGGGCAATCAAATGGAAGAGCTCCACCATCAGCTGCCTATCCAAATCAAGGTCCTAACCCTGCAGGGCAATCAAATGGAAGAGCTCCACCATCAGCTGCCTATCCAAATCAAAGCACTGCCCCAGTAAACCGTGTGTCACAGGGACCAGCATCAACTGGTTATCCAAATCAAGGTCCTAACCCTGCAGGGCAATCAAATGGAAGAGCTCCACCATCAGCTGCCTATCCAAATCAAAGCACTGCCCCAGTAAACCGTGTGTCACAGGGACCAGCATCAACTGGTTATCCAAATCAAGCTCCTAACCCTGCAGGGCAATCAAATGGAAGAGCTCCACCACCAGCTGCCTATCCAAATCGTGGTGCTGGTATGGGTGGTGTGGCCCCGATGCAAAACAGGCCAGTGGGAGACAGCACGGGATTGGGTCGACAAGGGTCATTTAAACAAGAAGGTTCTTTCCGCGGTCCAGGGGCTTTTGGAAGTGCATATGCTATGCCAGGTGCGAATAGAGATAGTTTCTATGGTGGATCAAAGTATGGCAGTATGGGCCCTGGTATGGGTGGAAGTATGTACGGTGCACCTGGAATGGGTGGAAGTATGTACGGTGCACCTGGAATGGGTGGAAGCATGTACGGTGGTGGATCAAGGATGGGCAGTATGTATGGTGCACCTGGAATGGGTGGAAGTATGTATGGTGCACCTGGAATGGGTGGAAGTATGTATGGTGCACCTGGCATGGGTGGAAGTATGTATGGTGCACCTGGCATGGGTGGAAGTATGTATGGTGGATCGGCATTTGGAAGTATGGGAGGAAGTATGTACGGTGGTCAGGGAATCACAGCGCAGTGGGGAAGTTTGGCCAATATGAGCCGAAATTCTTTAGGTGGGAGTATGTATCGCAACAGCAGTCAGAATTTGAATCTTATATGTCCCACTATATCCTCTATTAAGGACCATGTTGCACTACAACGAAGTGCCAAACGAGGTGGTAAAGTTACTACACTTGAGAGTAAAGATGCCGATGGTAAACCAATATCAACTGGCACAGCAGTTTCATCACTTATTGTTCGAAAATCGAGCTTTGTGAAAACTGAGGATGGGAAGGCAAATACATCTGAACGAGGGATTACGAGGATAAATACAGCTGACCAAGGGATCACGAAGGCAAAGGTTCCTGCAAATTACAATATTCATTCACTAATTGTGGTTGAGAAGGGAGCTGATCCATCGAAGAAGGTAGTTGTTTCTGTCAAAAATCCCAACACTATCACGTTCAAAAGGGAAGACGGGAAAGAGGAGTCATTTGAAAATGATGAGTGCCTTCTGCGTGATAAGAAGTCAAGCACCATAAACTCAGTACTTCTTCTTGATCTTCAGTCCAATTGGTTCGCTGGACACACCTCGGGACTCCTTATTGGTGCAGGGAAAGGTTGTGGACAAGCATCTGTGGAGTACACAAAAGCGTTTCTCGTGCAGTGTGTGGAAAAACTGGAGAAGGAGGAAAAAGAAAAGTCTACAACCTTTGATATCACTATTACAATGGGTATGGTGGAATCCTCTGACCGTATTCGTGATCTCCTTAACCCTGATAATAAAGACTATGAAAAGATGCAACTTGGTTCAAGTCCAGTATTTGGACCTTGTCTATGTGGTATGAAAACAAAGACTGTAACTTCTTCAAAAGAGTTTGGAAAGGTGTTTGATGAAGCTGTAAAACGCGGTGAAAATGAGAAACACATGATTATTGGTTTCTTTGTGCTCAAGCAGATAAAGAAGAGCAGTACAGAAAAAGACATCTACCTATCCTCACTTGCTCTGGGAATGGCCAGGGAGGAAACTTCACACTTAACTGGTCTAAGAGAGAAGAGCAAATCAGAACCATGTGTCCTGTTTCGCTACGCGGTGGGTGGTGCTAGTGTAACAGTAAGTGCAGTTCTTCTGTCAGATCAAGATTCTGAGTCACGTGGCTGTCTCGAGATGGAGCGTAAAATGCGAGAGATAAAGAACACCCCACCTCGCAGTGGTAACATCAGACGATGCCTGGAGATGACAAATAAAGAGATAAGCCGACAGAAGGATAAGTTGGAAAAGGCCAGTGAGAGTGAGAAAAAGTCAATTGAGCGTATTGTGGATCGAATGAAAACTATGGTGCAAGACTGTGAAGAAATGATTTCAAAACCGGAAAAGACAGCTCCGAAGGGATACCCCATGGCATCATAAAGGGGAGCAAAAAATCTCCTGTCTTGGAGAAAACCCCGTGAAAGATAATAAAAAAAAATAAAGAAGCAGAAGTAAGTGAGAAATATTTTTTCTTTGGTGGTGGTATGGTCCCCTCTCTCTCTCTCTCTCTTTATATATATATATATATATATACTTACATATATATATATACACACTAATATTATTATCATTGTTATTATTATTAATATTGTCATTGTTATTGTTATTATTTTTGGTGGCAACCTGTTTTTTTTTTTCGCAGTGTTTTTCCTGGATTGTTGCCCCCCATTCATTCAAGCTTACTTTGTGGGGTGATAATACGAGGGGAAATATGTATTGCAGCCCATGTATGCATTTTATTGGTTTCATTTATAGACCTGCCTCATTTTCATTGATATTCCATTTTCTGTTTTTCCATTTTCCCGAATGTGAGTATGAATTTAACGACCATGTCAACTGTGGAAAACGGAAATAATGTGGCGTAATTCTTTAGGGCTGGAAGATGGAAGAAGTTAAGGAAAGAGATGAAAAACATACGCCTAAAAGACGGATATATATATATCAGTTTTATTCTGACCAGTAAGCAGTTGAATGACGTGGTGAAAAAAGCCATGAGGGGAGAAAATAATGAAGTAAAGGCGCTTCAAGATGTGAACAGGATAGGGCTGAGACCTCTCCACACACGTACGCAATTACATGCCTTTTTCCTTCTTTTATTTCCAACTGCTACCATCAGATTCGCCGCCAGTGCGATATATTTTTTTTTGTTTGTTTGTTTGTTTTAAGCTTCACTTGCTTTTAATGGGATGTGAATTAAAAGAAAAGGTTCTGGGTATAGTGAATAAATAGAGAAAATGGTTTCGTAGATTACCCTAAAAAGAAAAATGCGAAATGAACAAAAATTGCTCCCTTTGATACCAAATTCCTTTTTTTCTTATTCTGCCCGGCCTATTTTTTTTTTTTTTTTCGTACGGACAAAAAAAAAAATGTTTTCTTTTGTAAAAAAAAAATTTCTGAAGTAAAAGAAGGAATAATCACTGCATCATGTGTTAAGGTATATGCTCCTCTCTGTCATTTTTTATTTATTTGTTTGTTTTGCTTTGCCTCATCAAACCTATTTTACATCATGTTTTTTTGGGGGGCGGATCTCATCATAATCCTTTTGCCCCCGGTGCATAGTTTCACTTTCAGTTTCTAATTGTACCAGATTTTTTTAGGGCTGTGTTGTTCCGCTAAAAATGTCAAACTGTGGTGTTCTTATTACTTGGGTTTTCACGCCATTCTATACAAAACTCTTCCGGATTCTCACTGTTTTTTTTTTTTTTTTTTCTTGCTGGTGGTAAAGTATAGCTATTTAGCCAAGAGTTAGTGTTCATACAAGCCTTACATCCTGAAGGAAAATGAGTTCTAGGCCAATTGGACGTACATCAAGTACATCTAGACCTGCAGGTAGTTCCACTGTAGGGTCATCTGCTTCTCGTCCCACTGCGGGAGGAGCTGCTCCGCGTTCCAGTGTGGGGTCATCTGCTTCTCGTCCCACTGCAGGAGGAGCTGCTCCGCGTTCCAGTGTGGGGTCATCTGCTTCTCGTCCCACTGCAGGAGGAGCTGCTCCGCGTTCCAGTGTGAGTGGAACTGCTTCGCGTCCCACTGCAGGAGGAGCTGTTGCTCGTCCCGCTGCAGGAGGAACTGTTGCACGTCCCACTGCAGGAGGAACTGTTGCACGTCCCACGGCGGGAGGAGCTGTTGCACGTCCCACTGCAGGAGGAGCTGTTGCACGTCCCACTGCGGGTGGAGTTGCTCCGCGTACCAATGGTACAGGTGCGGTTCCTCCACCTAATTCTGTGGGTGCCCCGCAGTCAGGCAGTTTTTACGGAGGAATGGGCCCACGTACTGGATCAATGGGAGGCAGTGCATACGGAGGAATGAATGGTCCACAGTCAGGCAGTCTTTACGGAGGAATGGGTGGTCCGCAGTCAAGCAGTCTTTACGGAGGAATGGGCCCACGTACTGGATCAATGCGAGGCAGTGCATACGGAGGAAACCCTTACGGGGCGTCTGGTATGGGAGTGGGTGGCCCAATGGGAAGTGGATATGGGGCATTTGGTTCAATGAGAGGAATGAGTAATCAAGGCTCCATGTACGGTATGGGAGCTCCTACGGGAGGTTCTATGTACGGTATGGGAGCTCCTATGGGAAGTATGTATGGTATGGGAGGTCCCATGGGAGGCTCTATGTACGGTATGGGAGGTCCCATGGGAAGTATGTACGGTATGGGAGCTCCTATGGGAAGTATGTATGGTATGGGAGGTCCTATGGGAGGCTCTATGTACGGTATGGGAGGTCCTATGGGAGGCTCTATGTACGGTATGGGAGCTCCTATGGGAAGTATGTATGGTATGGGAGGTCCTATGGGAAGTATGTACGGTATGGGAGGTCCTATGGGAGGTTCTATGTACGGTATGGGAGGTGCTACTTACAGCAGCATGGTCAATGCCGCAATGCGTCGTGACAGTTTTCTTGCCCGTAACAATCTTGTTCAAGCAAAGGTTGCTCCTTTGGAGAGTAAATCGAATAAGAGTAATGGTACTGTTGGTGACAAGACTACGAAGACTGATGGTGACAAGACTACGAAGACCGATGCTGACAAGAGCACAAAGACTGATGGAGATAAGAGCACAAAGACTGGAACTTCTACCACTGCTGGTACTGCTTCTTCTACCACTCCTACCGCGAGTTCCGCTTCTAGAGAAGTGAAAAGTGGAAAAGAGGAGGAAAAGGTCACTCCAAAGGTAATAACCTCAAGTTCTCTACAGGGGGACAAGAAACCCTTAAACGGAAAGAGCTCAACTACTGAAGAAACCAAAAAGTCAACGGATGCTGGGGATGCAAAGGATAAGAAAACTGAATCTAGTTCTAAAGATAAGGTAAAGCCCCCAACAGATACCAAAATCCACACTCTTGTGGTTGTCACCAAGGAGGGTTCAAGCTCTTCCTCCGCTGCTCTTAAAGTGAAGGACGCCACCACATTGACTTCAGAAAAGGATGATTATACCTTTGACGAGGTTATGGTTCACACAGACGTCAGCAAATATGCAGAGGCTGTCATGCTCGAAGATCTACGCCGTCATTGGTTGGCTGGCCACAACAGTACACTCCTCTTCGGAGCCTCAAAGGGTCAGAAGGATCAATCCCTTGGATTGGCAGAGGCTTTCCTATTGAATGCTTTGAATAGGGTGGAGAAGGAGGGCATAAAGTTTGATGTCAACATAAGTATGGCAGGATTTAAGAGCAGTGATGAGGCGAGGGACCTTCTTAAGTCAGGAGCCTCATACGAGAAGGTGAAGTTGGGATCCTCTCCTGTCTTTGGGCCAGCCCTTGCCGATATAACCACAAAGACCGTCACCAAACCAAGCGATTGTGTATCCACATTTAAGGAAGGAATAAAGAGACTAGAATCATCAAAACTCGCTATTGCCTTCTTTGTACTCAAGCAGGTAAAGAAAGCTACTTCTGGTGAAGAAACTGTCTATCTTTCGTCCCTTGGATTTGTATTTGCTGGTGAGGAACTTTCGCACTTTACCTCTCTGAAGGAAAAGAGCAGCTCGGAACCATGCACACTGCTTCGCTATGCTGTTGGTGGTGCTAGTGTAGCGGTTTGCATGATTGCTGTATCAGGTGATGGAAAAGAAAAGGAAAGTGTAAAAAAGGCACTCGAAACGGCAAAGGCGATGGGACAGGTGAAGAACAGCCCACCACGCAGCGGTAATGTTAAGCATTTTGTGGACTTCACAAAACAAGAACTCCCAAAACAGAAGGAGAACGCAGAGAAGAACAAGGATGATAAGGCAAAGTATGATGCCATGCAAAAGATTACAGCCCGCATGGAGAAAATGCTGAAAGACGCTGAGACGCTAATGGCTAAGCCGATGGATACAAAGCCAACCGTTTATGGCTGATGTGCTTCCATACGGCAAGAAAAAAAAAAATAGGAAGAAATTTATTTTTAAAAAATGATTCATATCTTTAACATTTATATTTAATGAAGGAAATGTATTTTTTTAGGTTTTTTTTCCGTAAAGGGAGTAATGTCTCATTGTTTTCAATTTGTTTTATGGGGGAAAAAGAAGATTTCCCTGTGGAGAAAATAAGAAACTGTGCAAAGGAAAGTAAAGGAAGGGCTCTTTTCTTCCATTTAGCATGATATTGGTCTCTCATACGAATGATACTAACATGTTGTGTATTTTAAAGCTTGAATAAGATAAGCGCATACATCACTTTCCAGTTCTTTTCCTCGTCAGTGAGGAGTACATTCGTTTGCCCAATCGTGTTTAATGATAAAGTACACGAAAACAAAAAAAAGAAGGAAAGAAAAAAAAAAAGGAGTGCAGAAACAAAAAATAATAATAAGAATTTTTTTTCTTCTATCGTCTATAGGTATTCCTATTTATTGGTAGAAGTGAGTCTATGTGTTTAATTTAAATACAACTACCATTTACTTCTTGTGTCTTTTTTTTTATTATTATTATCTTCCTTTATTTATTCCTCTCCCTTTCATCGTATGTGTGTACCCCTTTATTTAATGAACTTGTAACACACTGAGTATTTATTGTCGTTTTTTTTTTTTTTTTTAACTTTTCTTCTTGGCAATAAAATTTGGGAGCCCCCCCAAAAAAAACAAAAAAAAAAAGCATTTGTTTATGTTTGTCATTTTTAACTTTTTCTTTCATTTCTCTTCCCTTATTCCTGTTTGTTTCTCTATCTGTTTTTTTTTTTTCGCATTTTTTTTTTTTTCTCTGACAACCAGAAATAAAATAAATAATTGTGGCGAAAAGAAAAAAAAAAGGGGTGGTATGATACTCTGCTTTAAAGTCCCTGAGAAAAACAGTGAATTGTGATATGAAAGGGGAAAACAGTTCAGAATGAAGGGGGAATATTTGTTATTGTTATTGTTCTTTTTGTTTGTTTTTTGTTTGTTTTCAGAATGGTATAGTGAAAAAAAAGAGGAGGGAATCAAGGAAAAATGGCAAGAAGTCATATTTTTATTGTTATTGTTGTTGTTTTTTTTTCTTGTCAGCAACCTCTCAGATTTTGGAGTGTCTTCTAATGACTGGGCTCTTTGTCAAAGACCTGGTCACTCAGAAGGACAACAATGTGCTGCGTTTTTTTTTTTTTTTTGTTTTTGTTTTTGTTTTTGTTTTTCCTTCTTTTTTATCCCCTCTCTCTCTCTCTCTCTTATGTATTCCCTCTCTATGAATAACAGCAATTTTTTTTTTTCGTTTTGTTTTCCTCCTTGACGGTGCATGACGTAAGCAAGACTGACAAAATAATGCGAGGAAATAAAGAATTCTGAAATCATTAAAGATAAGAGATGGGAGGAGAAGAAAAAAGAAAAAAAAAAAGAGTTTTTGAGAAAAGAAATGGAACTTTATATGTTCCTACTGGGCAAAGGGGTACTTCATTGGATTCCTGTAGATCTAATATTTTTTTTTTTCTTCATCGTATGTCTTGTCGAAAGCAATCCAGAGAGAGGGCGGATAACGTCTCTCTAACACTCCTCCTGATGTGTATTTTTTTTGGTTTGTTTTTTTTTTTTTTTTTTTTTTTTGGTTTTTCTTCTACATCGTTATTTTCTTACCCATACACTAGAGGTATGGTGTTCTGCTATTTGTCTGTTGAGAGGAGTGAATACCTGGTGTATTTGCTATGGGGTTCAGTTAAAGTGAAAAGAAGAAGAAGAAGAAACGAGAGACTTTTTTTTTTTTTTTGATTTACGCCAAAATGACTCTGCGTAGTGAAGGTAAACCACTAGATATGTAAGAAGAACAGATCTCTATGTCTCTAGTCTCTAATAATATAGATCTAGGGAAGATATAAGAGAAGGTGAGTGGGAAACCTAGCTCGTCTAGCTGGTGTTGATTGTAAAGATTACTCTCTTGTGATTTATATTCTTCTATTTTTGCCTCTATAACAGTACTGATTTGGATTATGATGATTATTATTATTATTATTATTAGTATTATTATTATTATTGGGTTATTGTTATTTATTTATTTTCGTGTATAATCACCTCTCTGTGTTTCTCTCTCCACTTTGACAACTTTTTCTAAAATGATACGAACTTGGTAACTAAAGGTGATAATAATTAAAGAAAAAAAAAGGGTTAAAGAGACAATATCGGAGAAATATGCCCTCAAGAAACCATTCTACGAAACACAAGACATTAAAAAATCAACAAAGTGGGCAGAAGGATATGGTTACAGGTAGCAGTCCACCATATGCAGAGATCGCAAGCCCGTATTTACCATCACTTCAAACTCATCATGGCTGTGGAGATAAATCTACTAATGGGAGAACGAATGAAATGGGTAAAGAGAAACAGAACTCTAATTTGATGAAATCACGCAATACTTCAACTTTGACGATGGAATCGTTTTTATCGCCACATGAGCTTTGTTTTAACATTCCGAGTGGAATTAATAGCTTTTCGCATCAGTTTTCAATATTAAATAGCAATAACTTTTATGAATACGGCTTTTTTGATTATGGTGATTATGATACGAAAAAGACAGATACCGTCGATACTAAACACTCCATCACAAGAGAACCCTGTGATGATTCCACTTGGGGGTCTCAACCAGAAACTCCAACTGATCTCTTGTTGTCTTATTCACACTCATTAAGTGAGTTTAATCGTACTCCATACGACGAACCTACAAACCAGAGTGATAAGGGGGATGATGTGAATATACAAACTCCATTACAGAAAACAATCTCTATTATAGATTATAGTGAAATATATGGTGAATTTGGTATGTCCTCCACATGTATTACAGAAGTCTTCAGCGAACCGGTACCACCACCAACAACAACAGGAGCACCACTCACTCTACATAAGTATAAAAAAGTAGAAGAACCACAATTTGATGATAATGATGGACAAAAAACAGTAATTCCCCAGATATTGGTTTCTGAACCTCCGTTAAGAAGGTCTCGTGGTACTTCATTCTCTAGGGGAATTTCAACACGTAAAGTCACCTGGATAGAACCACTTCCTGAACTTAAATCATCAGCTCCAAGTCTCCCAAAGCCACAGAAAAAAAATGTCTCTCAACCGATAGTTTCCTCTAAAGTACCACAGACCTTACCTAATGTCTCTGACGGGAAGAAAAAAAAGAATAACTTTAAAATGCGGAGATTCCGTCGCTATGGTATTTGCATAGAAACATCCTCTCGCAGTAGGAATAACAGGAATGTAGAGTTCCGTCTCAAGTTAGTTACTCTTATTTTATCGCGTGGGAATGTGGAAAAGGAAAAAGAAGAGGAAGAAGAAGAAGAAAAAGAGATCTTAAGAGGGAATGATGATGAGATGGAGTCGTTATTGGAGTCTAGTGTGGCCTCCAGTACTGTGACTGTTATCCACCAGGGCGAACTCCAAAATGGTTGTCTAGTCGAACTAAAGGCAGATTACGATTTTGATGAAGTGATTACTTCTACTAAGATTACCCGTTCCATCACTCTTACAAGACTCTTACAACTTACCCATTGTGGTATTCCCACCTTCATGCCGATTACTTATGCCTTGGGATGTCATTCAATGGCGACGAGATTATGCCGTAATGTTCTCAGGGAATTAGTACGACGTTTTCGGGATGGAACCAAACTGGACAAGACAACATGTAATGTATGGATTTCACTCTGTGCAGTGATGAGTCCCTCTTTTGCTGTTGATCTCCTCCGTCATTCAAGAAACCATGATGATGTCGTGTCGTTAAGGAATGGTTTTATAGCTTTTTGTGGTCCTTTCTTTATGGATATGATATGGATGGAAGTAACGTCAGAGGTTTATTTTTTAAATTTAGAAGATATTATCTTGCGAGAACAACTTCATAAACCGGATGGTTTAATTATAGGAACACTTCTAGCGAGAGAGTATTCCCCTGGAAACCAAAATAAGGGATCTATGGAAACATTATTGCTTCCTAGTTTTACTTTTTCATTAACAAGTAACCCGACAGTTTTCCCGACTATTTCTGAGGCAAAGGCATCGCCTTTGCAGTTTTTCTTAATGAGTGCATTTAATGAAAAAGTAACAACACATGTAACATGTGTGACCGATAATAGCGCAACTTCATATCAATACTTTGAGCATGCCATGAACATTCCGCAAACTATAAATAAACCTCTGTATATTTACGATATCAATCGCCAATTCAAAAGGGCAAATAAATACCTAAAAGGAAAAAACTTATCTGATACTAAAGATTTGGAAAAAAGCAGTGCTTCTTTTTCCTCATTTATGAAGGCATATAAGAGTGCCAAGTCGATGCTAATGAACCCGGAAATGATTCCAATGAACTGCATGAAAAGTATCTTCACGAGCCCTTTATTGGAGAAACCTGACGTTCATAAAGAAGAGAGAACACTTCACAGAAAGCGCTTAGTTGAAGTGAAGAGTAGTCATGATCATATTCTTGAAACTGAGATGCGGTTAATTAGGGGTAAAATGTCACAGCATAAGTTTTACAAGGAGGAAAAACGTTCTCATAAACTTCCACCATTGGTCCAATCCCGATCACAAAAATAAATAATTGATCTACCATATATATATATATATATAATAGATCAACCATTTATTTTTATTCTCTTTCTATATTTACTTAACATTACTGAGCAGTGTTTATGCTCGCATGCCTTGGTTAGGACATTTGATGGCTAAATGTTTTTTTTTTTTTTTGTAATATTTTGGTGCTGTGTTTGGTTTTTTTCTTATTTTCTCTCTCTTTCTTCGTTGTTACTATGTGTTTTTTTTTTCCTTACGTTGTTTTTGCTTCTTGGTTTCTTCACCACGGCAACAGGTGAAATCGTATCGGGAAGAAGAATGAGGAGGTGGAAAGTGAAGAAAAAAACCAATAGACCTGTTAAATAGAATCCTCATCCATTGTTTTGAATTTCTGCATTGTCTGAGTTTCTGCTTTAATTCCTCCTATTAGGAAGGGGATAGTGGTAGAGACTCACTACTTTACGGTTACATTTTTTTTTTTTTATTATTTCGCATTCTTTGTCTTTTTACTATTGATGTTCGGTTTGGCAAGTGCGATGGTTATTGTTTTCAGTTTCGTATTTTTCCCGTTATGAATGGAGACAGCGAGATCTGTCTGAAAGTGAATGGAGAAAAGAGGGATCCCCAGGTGTCTTTTTTTTTTTCTTAATTTTATTATTTTTCTTTTTCTTGCTTTTATTCTATACACCGTGTTTGTGGGAGTGTGTGATTAAGAAATGATAGGCGCATATCGAAAAACTGCTGCATGGGCATCTACCAAGGTGGGGGTGTATCTCTTTTTGTTGTTGAAACTTAAAACGAATGCTTTGTTGTTATTGTTGTTGTTGTTCTTGTTGTTTGCGGCTGTCGTTTCTTTATATCTTTGGTGTATTTTAAACTTTTTATCGATTCATTATGACTGATTCATTTTTCTTACTGACTCATTATTATTATTATTATTATTATTATTATTATTATTATTATTATTATTATTATTATTATTATTTATTTATTCATGTTTCTTATTTTTTTTTTTTCCTCCCCTGGGATGTAGATGAAAGAGAATTTTTATTGTAATTTGGGTTGAGGTGCATCTGTATTCCATACATTTTTTTTTGTTTGTTTTTGCCTTTCCCCTATTTCCCTTTGTATCTCAAACTGTCAATCTAATTCCCCAACACTCTTTTATACACATGAGTGTGAACTCTTGTACACGGCCATCTGGCTGAAAATACATGAAAAAAGAAAGGAAAAAAAAAAACTGAACCTTTTGATGTGCAAAACGAGGAACTGTAATGTAATAACAATCTGTGTTAAAAAAAAAAAAAACAGCGGTATCACACCACTATCTTGTCTTTTCTATTCTTTTCTTTTTTCTTGGAAGTAAAGGAATAACGACCAGTAGGGATAGAAAGAATATCGCTGAGGGGTGTAGTTGAGACTAGAGACGAGCCCAACAGGTTGTTGCTGAGAAAAGAGAGAAAAAAAAAAAGTAATAACAAAAGAAAAAGGGGTGGATGAGGAAAGGGGATTCCCATCCTGCAGATAAAACTGCGAAGATGAAGGGATCTATGAATGAAAAACAGAATGAAAAGAATACCATGACTCGCTCTGATCCATGGAGTAGTTGTTACAGTTCATTTTCTTCTTACTATATATCTGGAAGAATGTATGATCAAGAAAGAAAACCATTTATCCCTCAAGTAGAGAATGGTGATGAAATTGAAGAGGTAGGGCTAGATGATAGTGAAAAAGGGCTTGGAAATAGTACCTCTACCTGGAATGAGAGTCTTTTAGCGTTATCTTTCGTGAATACATCTGATCTTGGGCAAAAGTCCACCAGTATGGAAGGTTTTTCAATCTCTTCAAAATCTACGGATGAGCCATTAGAGCTTCCCTCTTTTGGAATCCGTGACGTTGGTGGGGAGTTGTTGTTTCCAATGCGAGAGACTTCTGGAGTTGAGGGAGGAAAACGTATTGTGAGGCGTGATTCTGAAAATCAAATACCTTCTATGCAGGAAAGCTCCTTGTTGATGATGTCTATCATCGATCTTGCTTCGGATCATTCACCTGTAAAACTCGCCCGACAAGTAAAGTCTTCCCAAGAGGTAGGAAAACAGCAGCAGCAGCATCAGCAGCAAGAACCATTGCAACACTTGGGTGTCGAAAAGGTTTTAAAAAGAACGACTCTTAAATTGAATTTACATCCTTCAGAGAGACGAAGTACTGAGGGTTTTTCCTATTTGGATGATTCCTTTGGTAATCACCTAGAAGCAAGTCTACTCAGTAACTCTGAGTCTCTAAATGCATCACCGGTGCCTTCAATCGCAGTTATTTCAAGTTGGTCTTTGGAAAATTTGGGTAATAAACATTCCTCACCTAAAACTTCGGTATTTGCTCCTAAGGGGAGTGGTGATAAGGTGTGGCGGAGTGAAGATAGGAATAATAACGAGAGATTATCAAAGGAACACGTTAATAGAAAGAAAAATAGTACATCCTCACCTCGTGAAATTCCCTACAGTTTTCCTTGGGATATGAATCGTGTAAACGTTGCTCTCATAATGCCCAAGGCACAAACAGATGACACATCATGTTTTAATATTTTACCAGGAAATAAAGTAGTGGAACTTTTGACTCCTTCAACTTCTTCTTCCTCCATAGAAATGAATCATGTGGAAGAGAAAAGGAGTAAGAATGAAAAGGGACAAGCATTGGAAAGATTTGAGTTTGACGAGATTATTCCAGCTTCCCTTGGGCAAAGGGTAGAGTTTAAGAAGTGTAATAGCTTTAGTAAACTTTTGGAGTTATTTCTCTCAGGGTACAAAACTGCGTTGGTCGTAGGTTCCAACCTCTCACCACAAACTATTGCAGAAGATTTTATATTGTATGCTATTCAAAGTTCTCTAACAGAAATTCTGAAAAAAAAGAGGGAGAAGTTAATCGCTTCATTTGATATTACACTTCGTATCTCCGCTATAAAACCTTCTGAGAACAAAGTCTGTGATCTCACTAGTTCCACTGATGAGTTTCAAGATATTATTATTGGTCAAAGTCCTCTTGGTTCTTTTCCACTCGGTATGAACGAAATAGATTTGCAATCCCGGCTCTCCACCTATGTGGCTGATATTCGGCACGCATTTGATCGTCGCCGAAGTCTCCTTGGTGACTCTAGTCTTGTTTTTGCTACTCTTCTACTGAAACAACTACAGAAGACCTCCAGAGTCTCTGTTTTGCTCTCCTCCATGCGATTTATTCTCTTGAGTGATCCTGTTTTACTCCTAAAGGGTGGATCCGCTACCAACACCGCCTCTCACATTGTCCAGAGTGTTCTCAGTGGTGGGGAGTGTGCGACACTTCTCGTTGGTTGCCTCGACACCTCCCAGCGATACCGCGAGTGGATAACACTTATCGCCATGCAGCGAAACTGTAAACTGCAATCCCCACGGCGTCTCACACTGAATGATTTATTGAGCGACGCCGCCCCACCACCACCACCACCACCACCACTGTCGCCCTACGCAACAGTGGCAATCGCGAATAAATGTGATAGACCGCGGTCCGCAGAATCGGGTGGCCACGGGAGTAAGGAAGGTGTGAACAACCCGTTTGGAAGTCGCATCAGACGACGCAGCAGTGTTGTTATCTCAGAACCTAGTAGTAGTAATAGTAGTAGTACTAGTAGTCCTGTGATGGGGAAGCCATTAGCGAAAAAAGTTCGGTCGGTCGGAGAAAAAAAAAAAAGAGAAGTGAAAAGTCAAGAAAAAGGAAAAGGAGGAGGAAGTAGAGAGTATTATAGTCCTAATAGAACTATACCTCTCATGCAGACTGAGGAAGAACTTGCAAGTCGTCAGATACCCCAAGGAGATGAAAATGATAGTATAGACGATCATCATAGACCGTTGAGACGCCAACGACGTCAGCAACATCGAGTACAAGCACTCTCTATGGTTTTTCCTGCTTTTGTAGTGACTTCAGGAGAAGTTACACCTGTGCAATCTCGCGTTTCAGAATCTTCAATATCGAAAGACAAAACCTCCAATACTGTCATGGGAGCTCCAAATAAGTTAGGGGGTCAAAAAGGTCATCCTGAGGAATCTGAAAACACACCAGGGCGTGAAGATAGTGTTATGTCTCTAGCTAGGGTTTCATGGGGTAGAGTCTATCGCAGGAGAAACCATGTAAGCTTTTCTGAATGAATGCCCTCTTCAGATGACGAACAACAACAACAACAAAAAAAAAAAAAAATACAATAAGTACTCGGTAGCAAAATTCTCATTATTGTACTTTTTGTACTTGTTCTTTGACATGTTTATGTGCGCTGAATATGCTCTTCTGGATCGTGCGATTTTCACGTAAAATAAAGGTTAATGAACCCGAACCTTTTTTTTATATTTTTTTAAATTCCTCTCTCTCTCTCTCTCTGAATGTACTCATCAGTGCTTTTTTTTTCTTATTTTGTTTAGAGAGAAATGGGATGCTGGGATGGATTGTATTGCTCTCATAGACGAGAGCTAAAAAAAAAAAAAAAATAATAATAATAAAAATAATAAAAAAAAGCATGGCTTATTCCGTGTGATAATGACATAAATTATACATAGATATATATATATATATATATATATATATATATATATTATCCTTTCTGCTATGAAGGCGGAATCATCGACATTGGGGGAAAAAGAGAAAATACCATATTGAGTAGATCATGGTAAAACTCTGGAAATGCAGTTTAAAAGGATTCGTACAAGATATTTAGGGTTTTTTTTTATATATTAAATACGGATTCAACTGATGTCCTGGTGGCTCTCTTTTTTTTTTTTTCTTTTTTATGAGCGATAGAGGTGACATTGTATATCGTTTGTATGTTGTTGATTTTTTTTTTTTATTATTTCTTTACAGACAGTATTCCGTTATATCTTGTTATTTTTTTTTTTCTCTCTTAGTATTATTACTGTCTATTTTGTCTCTCTCATGTCTCTTGTTTCTCTCTTCTGGGTATGCAGTCCATATCCCAGCTGTCTCAATTTTTTTGATTCTTCGATGGAGATGGAGAGTTGAATGTCTCTCTCTGTATTGAATCACTTCTTTTACATTGATTCTCATAAATACGGTTTTTTTTTTTTTCAGCGTTAATTGTAAAATTTACCCATCTAAACTCATTACTTTTGTTTTTATATGTATTTGTTTATTTATTTGTTTTAATTACTTTGTTGATATTTGTTTCGTTCAATTCTTCATGGGAATGATGCGTCCATTCCTTTTTGTATCGGAAAAATAAAAAAAAAAGATATTTCTCCCTTTCCCCCCCCCCCCTCTTTAGAGCATGATTTATTATTATTATTGGGTTCCTCTATTTTTTTCTTCTTATTCTGCTCTTATTTCTATCCATACAATTAACTGTTATTTAATGATAGTAATCACATGGGAGCCAAGCAATCCGTTGGGGAGACCTCTCGGGAAGAAGGATATCTGCGGAAACCACCACATCGTCTTCCACCTGATGCCTCGCTGCGCCATGCAACGAGCAACGTTCAGCCTTTCGGGCAAGTAGATTTAACGATGAATTCAGGCTCTAGAAATTATTTACTCTCTGGTGAACCACAACATGCACAGTCTTACACAAATGGATATGGAGATAGAGGGACAATGATGAATGAATATGATTATCCTATGGCAGAGGGAAGTTTTAACTATTACGGGAGTACTTTTGGTATGAACGGGCAAGGATTTGGTGGTTATGAAAATAATTATAGAGGAGAAGGGGATTTTAACACCTTCTATGGAAATATGTATGATATGGGAGGTAATATATCGAATGGGTTTGAGGATATGCAGCATAGTAACATTTATACTGGTGGTGATTTTGAAAGTGTTAGAAATCCCGGACCGCTTCTTCCACATCGTCCATCTATAAGACTGCACCGCACTGTTTCCTTTGTAGAAGACTTGGAGGCCAGTCCTACTGGTAGTATTTTACAAAAAAAGGGTGAACTTCCAGGTATTCTTATGAAGAGAAAAGATGATCTTAATTCTTCTACTAAAAAGAAAGGGGGAAAAGGAAAAGGGGAAGAGGTTTCAAGTACTGCTGGTATCTCCTTAGCACCCCTCTTAATATCTACAAAGAAAATACAACGACAAGAAGATAAAGAGAAAAAGGGAGAGGTTTCAAGTACTAGTGGTATTTCATTAGCACCTATTTTAGTATCTTCAAATAAATCACATCCTCAACAGGAAAAAGAGCAAAGGCCGCCAACTCCACCCAAACCTCTTAATACTATAAACCTATCTGGAAATCATGTACGTACGTTGGTTACGATAGATTCTTCAGTAATAGAAGGTTCCACTGATAATCCACCACTAATAGTTCAGGAAGGAGCTAATAGTCTCAGTATTGTAAATGATGAGGATTCTCAGCTTACCGCCAATGAAGTCACATTGATTCAGGAAGAGAATGATATTATGAAATCAGAGGAATTAAAACGGGTAAAGGAAAAGTTTCTTTCAGGTTATTCGGTATCAGTAATCTGCACTGAAGGCACTGGTATTGCAGAGAGGGCACCTCCTCTGGAGTCTACTTCGTGGTGTATGGTGAAGAAACTTGTGAATGAAATTTCTGAAAGACTAGTAGAGGAAAGAAAAGAAGAGTCTAAACAAATACAACTCGCATGTGCTGTTGTAGCTATAAAAGGAAAAATGTTAGCGGACTTACTTAAAAATAAACCGACCTTTGAGAACTTGTCTGTTCGACCATCTCCGCTTTTTGGTATGCGATTTGTCGGTGTGGAATATCGTAATATTAATGAGAATAACACCTTTGACTCTATGATTACTCATGTGGTAGATATGTTTCGTGAAAATGAAGAAGTTCAAGGTAATTATATTGTCCTCTCATTTCTACTTAATAAACGTATCATATCAACTAAAGAGGAGGAAGGAGATGTGGTAGTTAGTTCATTATTGTTTATAATGGCTGGTGATGCAGTGGAAAAAGTGCTTTCTGTGCTTGATGGGACTAGTACTGAAGCGAAAGCTATATTAGATGACTGTGTTGGTGGTGGATACCACTCACTCAGTATATACTTCTCTCACCAGCAAGATAAATATGTAAAGAAAGGATTTAAGCTGCAGAGAGAAATTATGGTGGCAAAACATGCTCCACCACGTTTTGGAAGTGCCCGAACATTAAGAAAACGTTTGGGTGAGGTTGTTGAAGCCGCTCAAACACGTCTCTTAAATATGACTAATCCCGTGGAAAAGAAGAATACCGAAAAGTTTATTGAGAATAGAATTGCACTCATGGAATCACTGAATGAACTATTGGAAGTGGTGCGTCCACGGTCCTAAAACAAAGAAAAAAAGATAAAATTATAGTTGGTATTTTTTTTTTTTCCCCCAATGAAGGTGGTGAATGTCTTTATTTGGTCGATTTACTCTTTTTTTCTATTGTATTTTGTGTGTGTGTTTTTTTTTTTTTTTTTTTTTTAAGGGAGGGGGGTTGTTTTTTATTATTATTGTTATTGTTACGACATGTCCTTAAACTTAAAGGGGAAATTTGCAGCTTCTGTGGAGATAATACCTATGGATTACTATCTTTATGCCTGTTTATATCCCTTTCTCTCTGTGTGTATGTACTTATTTATGTGATAAATGTTTTTCTTTCTTGAATTTTTTTTTTTTGTGTGTGTGTTACTGAGCACCTAAGATATCCACGGTGTGGCATATCTTTGGTTTTCTTAATATCTTCTTACATGGCCCTTCAACTATTTGGTTATTCTGTTTTGCTGTTAAGACACCTTTTTTGTTTTAAATTTGCATGATTGTTTTTTTTTTGTTTTGTTTTGTTGTACACTGCTTATTCTCTCTGATATATTTTCCTCTTACAAGAGGAATTATGTATATATATAAATACATATATATACATACGTATCTGTGTGTAAGTTATTTTTTTTTTACTTACCATGATCAGGCAACCCCGTCCCGACAAAAAAAAAAACAGGATTATCCTGGGGCTTTTCTTTTAAATTAAACTCTCTGTTTTTATTTATTCAACAATCAAGTATGCTGTTGGTAGTCATTCTTCTTAAGGTTTCTCTATTTTGAAAGTGATATACTTTTCCTTTACTCCCTTTTCTTTTCTTTTCTTTTCTTTTCTTTATGGTGGTGGCGGGGTCGATAAATTAGTGTTTCCTGTAGGCGTTTATTAAGGGAAAAGAGCACTTTGTGGTGACTCAGATCAAAACGTCTCATAATAGAAGAAGAGTGACATTTTTGGCCTGTTGTTGACTTGATTGAAGTTATTGTTTTAAGTCGTTTTTATTATTATTATTTATTCCTTTCTATATTTGTTTTGTTTTCACTGCGGCTGTGCGAAACCAACGTTTTGGTGGTTATCGGCTGAACAACCACAATAAGAACAAGAAAGAAATAAGGCGCACATAATATTTGTGATTTCTTCACTCTACTAAGTGCTCTGTGTCTGTGTGTGTGAAATGGATATCACCGGTGCTCAAGCCAACGATGAGAGGCCCGGCCTGAACTACAAGGGGGAGCGGAGTCCTGATGCTGCCCCACGGGCTTTTTCTGAGAACCGAGATGATAATATTAATGGGAGTAATGATAACAAGGAACAGTGTTTTACTGGAGAAGGAGGCGGGAGACGACGCAGACGCTCATTACACAAGGGATTTTCTGAAAAAACTGTTATGTCTTCAGTACCGTTTCCAGAAGCAAGCGAACTTCAAGACACCCTTGCAGGTAGTACTCTGGATAAAAATAACCATCATTCTAATCACTAGTTTTTTTTTTTTTTTTTTTACTTCTTCGTTATGCCTTTCTTTACTGTAGTGCAATAAGATATAATTTTTCCTTTTCCTTTTTCTTTTTTGACAGCTTGCGAAAAGAATGATTGGGTCTTTTACGCTATTTGGTAGAAAATCGTGTCCTGGGGTTTTAACGTTGGGGAAAGAAAAAAGTTTCTTTTCACTCTTTTACAGTCTGTCAAGCGTAGGTTTCTGAAAGCCCACCTAACCTAACTCAACCCCTACCCTCACCGCCTTGAGCGAGAGGCGGGCTAAAAAAGGGGCTTCTCAGCATAGTTTTATTTCGTCAGTCCTTAGTATGTTTTCAATATATAACTGTTTTCGGTAATATTAGAGAGAGATTTATTATACACCCCGGGGTTCAGATTCGGGGAGGATAAATACGTTTTTTTTTTTTTTGTTTATGAGGGGGGTTCTGTTCTGTTTTTTATGGTAGAAGTAATATTAATATTATTTTCTTCTTGTTACTGCTTTTCACTTTCTTCTTTTCATTTTTTTTTTTTTTTTTTTCATCGCTTGATGCAAGAAACGAGGTCAGGCTAATTGAACACAAAAGGAGAGTATATTGATCAAACTGGGGAAGGGTGAAATACAAAAAAAAAAACCTTACCTCTCAAACCTCGCGGAACTGTATTTCTCATGCGAGGAGGTGGATATACGAACCGAGCCCCATCTATGGGGGGTGAACCATACCAAGGAGCTATGATGCAACAACCGTTTGGAAGTCAGTATGGTATTCAGGGATATGATAATCTCGATAACTACGGCGGTGGTTCTTATAATATGGGATATGCAGAAAAAATGAATGGTAATTCTTTTCGACAAAATGGATACCCATATGACAAAAACAATGATCCCTACCCAGGTATGAATAGAATGGGTAGTGGTATGGGAGGTGCTTTTGGTTCTTATGGTATGAACAGCATGGGCGGTTTTGGAAGTATGCAAGCATCCATGTGCCGTATGAATGAACCTCCACCGGTGATATACAAACTCTTCTCCAGTCGTCGTGACAGGTTTGGTTTGTCATCTAACCGTGACTTCCATGCCCGTCATTCTCAGTTAAGTTTGTACGGCATCGGAAACCGTGGATCATCAATAAATAATTCCGCTATGGGATCAGCCTTTGATCGCGATGTGCCATCAGCAACTAAAGATACAGGATTTTCTACGAAATATGAACCGAAAAAGAGTGGTACTTACGGTACATCTCCTGCTAAGGCGGGTGGGTCTTTCAGTGCAACTCCTGCTAAGGCATCTACTCCAAGTGTATATGAACGAGCCCCAGCCACATCGGGCAAAAGTGTCTCTACGTCCACTGATAAGCAGCCTTATGATAAGCAACCCAGTGAGAAGCGGTACGTGAGCAAACGACCATTAAGTCCAACTGCCCGTACTTTTGATTATGATGGAGCCACTGACGCTGATTCAAAGACCAGAAGGAAATCCTCAGGTGTCCGCGAAGTCGTATCACGACCATCCGCCATCGCGGAATCAAGAAGCACTGATAAAGGTGCACGAGGTGATAAGGTTGCAGAACGTGGGAGAACCGCAGAGCGTGAGAAACCTGTCCAACGTGAGATGCCCGCAGAGCGTGAAGCACCTGTCAGGCGTGAGATGCCCGCAGAAACTGAACAGAGAAAGACTACAGAAGAAAGAAGACCGCAAGAAAGATCAGAGGTGTCAATTCCTCTCTCGAGGGAAGAGTCTGTGGCGGAGCAGAAGCCTGCAAGTGTTACCAGCGCCTTTGGTGATATTGTTGATAAAAGTGCAGTACTTGAACAAAGTCAATATGAACCGTCGCAATCACGGATTCAATCAAATACGCATTCGCAACGCGGTTCATTGCGTCGTCGTTCATCAGTTGGTCGCCCGCGCACTGCGAGTATGATCAGTATGTCTATTGCTGAATTCCCTGAAGGTGATGAGATGAAGGATATTCTTGATGCTGGAATAGTTGGAACCAGGAGAGCATCATCAATAATGGACCCTGGAGCTGCCGGACATAGAAGAACTAGTAGTATATCAGCAAAGGCATACGATGGACAAACAAGTGTTTCCCGTCAAGAAGGAGGAGGGACTAAGGATGATGAGCAAAAAGCTGAGGAATATCGTAAACGACTTGAAGAACGCAAAAGCATTGATCAAAAACTCAGAAGACAAAGTGAAGTTGCGCTACAGCAACGACAAGAACGAGAGCAAACACAACGAGAAGAACGCAAAAAGTTTGATGATGAAATGAAACGTAAGAATGAAGAAGAACGTGAACGGCGAAAGGCAGAAGAACGGAAACGCTTTGAAGAGGCAAGAAGCCTCGAACAGAAGCAAGAAGAAGAGCGTATCAAAAATCTTCTTGCACATTCTGAGGTGGGACCCACAGAGCCAGAAACAGGGGAGCGACGTTCAGTTGTGCGCAGAAACAGCCGTACTCGCCCATCAACGCGTATAAATTCAATGTTGGGGGCAATTCCGGAACAACCGCCTGATGTGGAGGCTGGTGCTGTGAAGGATGTGCTGGATGACGCCCTACCAGTAGCTAGACATAGCGTAGATATGACCCATGGTCGCAAAAGCATTTCTCATCCTGAGGGACCTCGAAGAAGCATTGCGTCTGCTGGGGATGCTGGACATCGTCAACAAGAAGATAAAAAGCGGCAACAAGAGGAACAGAGAAGACAAGAAGAAGAGAGGAGACGGCACGAGGAACAGAGAAAGCAACAAGAAGAGGAACAGAGGAGACGGCACGAGGAACAGAGAAAGCAACAAGAAGAGGAACAGAGGAGACGACACGAGGAACAGAAGAGGAAAGAAGAAGAAGCAAAGAGACACCACGAAGAAGAAAAGAAGCCAGAGGGAGGGGAAGTACAACAACAAGAACAACATCAACATCATTCTCAGGAGAGTCAAAAACAACAAGAAGAACATCAACATCATTCTCAAGAGAGTCAAAGACAACAAGAAGAACATCATCATCACGATGAACAACAGAAAGATCCAAAGAAGTCTAACCCCATTAAGACCCTTGTACTCCTGGAGAAAAATCCACGGCCGTCAAAAACTCTCACCGCGGAAGGGAACAGTTTCACATACCGTGGAGTAAAGCATGAAGCCACGGAAGTTGTATTTCGGGATCCGAAGAGTATGTCATACCATTCTAATATTTTCAGCACTATTAAAAGTGTTGTATGTGATGGTTTTAATTCTTCCATTGTTTCTGTGGAGGCGCCTAATACTGGTAGAGTTTTTGAGTCTCCTGTATGGACTGGACTTACCCGCATTGTACGCGGTGTGATGCAGAGGTCTGAAACCAAACCAGAGAACCGAACCGAACTTGCTGCAGCGTTTGGTTTTATTCATAAAGACAAGGTGCGAGATCTCATTGTCGAAAACAGTAACTTTGAGCAACTATTGGTTCACCCATCGCCTATATATGGTCCTCGCATTCCACAACTTCGCTACAACCCTATTTCTTCTCCCTCAGCATTTGAAGAAATGATGGCTTCTGCCTTGCGTCGTTCCAGTGCCGATCCTATTCTTTCCTCAATGGATGGTGTAGCAGTTGCCCTTTTACTCTCTAAACAGTATTGTTTGACAACCAATGAGGCTGGTGAAAAGACATACGATGTACTCTTGTCCTCCCTCGTTGTGGCATCAACTGGAAGTGATACGTTGCCCTATGAATCTGCACTCGCCCGTGTTCGGAACGAGTATAGCATGCTGTTTCATCTCCTGCTTGGTGGGCCATGCTTTACGTGCTTTATGCTGAATCTTTCTTTGGGAGAAGAAGAAGCATCCCATCAAGAAGTTCTGGATAGGCTTATCGCGCTTCACGATAAAATGCACTCATCCTACAACTATCCATTACGTAATGGGTCGGTTATGAGGTTTGTGAAGTATGTAGAAACTGCTAATAAAGAGGGAAGGGAGCGTGTGAAGAATGAACAAAATCCAGAGAAACGTGCCAAACTTGAGCGCTACGTGCAGGAACAGGCCCGATTGCTGAGCGATGCAGGAAAAATGTTGGAAGAGGCACGTGAAGTTATGACTGCAGCACCGTCCTCCGCACAGCGCTAATAAGGATTCCCTTGGTTATCCTTTCCTTTTTCTTTGTTTTTATTGGGATTTTCACGTTTTGTTTTTGTTTTTTACCGAAGATTATTTTGCTTGGATTTGGTGTGTATGGTGACTTTGTTAAATAATCTTCTCTCATCGAGTGTCCTGAAAGTGTAAAAAAAAAAAAAAAAATGCAAAGTAAATAAGGGATATGGATTAAGAAGATAAAAAGGAGCTAAGTTAATGTAAAGGGACACAAAGAGCAAAGAAAGAAGATATATTGATTATATATAGTCTAAATTGATTCGACTGTTTGACATATGGGAAGAATGATATCTGGCTGTATTAAAGGAAGAAAAACAGTAGTATTTTTTTTTATGTTAATATTACTATTTATTTCTTATTTAGTAGAAGAAATGCCTCTCATAATTCCTTTCTTTTTTATTGTCACTATACCGTTTTTTTTTTTTATTTATTTATTTTCTCTTTGATTGGCCTTTTCCCCCTTCATCGTTCTGTATGGGTGGTGGTATTGTTGTCGGTTTTCGTGTGTTTGCTGACTTCTGTTAAATTAATTTCTGCGTACTCCAAGGGAAGAAAAAGTGGAGTACCAGTGTCAAAGTATTTCCTTTCTCATATTTTCTTTTCCATGTCTCCCCTTCCCCCCACAATTCCCGTCATCGTAACTATGATTTTCTTCGGCCACGCTTTTCATAAAAGAAAAACTTGAGTGCGCGTGTATTGCACATATATATATATATATATGAAGAGAATTAAAACAGTTTGACACTGCTGCACAATGTTTACATTGATTCTATGTGCCTTCTTTATTGTGTTTTTTTTTTTTGGTTTTTTCCCCGTTTCATCCGTCGGACACTTCGATTTGTTCTTTGTTTTTTCTTTGTACGAGATTTTGGATGGTGTTCATTCGCCCAACGGTTTATGTTTTTTTTTTATTTTTATTTTTTTGATACATGAAGTTCATGACCTCATATTATCTCTGCCGAAATCCTTCCAACCTCTATTATCTCATTTTCTCTCTCTCTCTCTCTCTCTCTCTCTCTCTCTATATATATATATATATATATATATATATATTATTTTTAGGTTCAACGTGTAGGAACAATTGATTTTACCTGTTCGTTGGAGGAGTAGGGTTGGGTTAGTGCCAAATTAAAAAAAAAAAATCCATAATATTCTTTCTCTATTTAGACGCACGAACGTTTAAATTGATAAGATACCGTATTTTCACCCTACTACAAGAAAAAATAAATAAAATAAAAAAAGAATCAATGGATAACACAATTGAAAGCTGTAGCGTTGTCGTGGCGAGCGATAGTCTTGACCTGACGCCCTCTGCAGAGGTCAAGACACTCTGCGCTGCGTCCATACCTGATGATGAAAAGATGAACAACTTGGATTTGCCACGGGATTTTGTTCGACAATCTTCACGAATCTCAAAAGAAAGCAGTATTGGTTCACAACCAAAACTTATTGATAGTTGTTCACTCAGTCACTTATTTAAAGGGAGAAGGAAAATAGGGAAGGCACAGAATGGGAAATCATTTAGGCGAGATTTTGAGGCTGATATTGCACCAGAGTTAACAACATCAGAACAAATTGCTATTCCTCGCCCAGTTCGGCGACCATTAAAAAGGCATCAAGGTAGTGATGCCATCGTAAGAGAACCATTGCCAAGCAATCTTCGTGCCAATCTTTTAGGCTTTGCTATCCCAAATATAGAAGATGAAACTGAAAATAGTAAAGACGATTTTGTTCCAGTTAGTGATGATCGTCTGCAAAAGTTTTGCGAAAAAGTGATGCAAGGGAGGAAACGACGTGAAGGAGTAAAAGATGATTTGTTACATGAAAGGTGCTGTAAGAAGCAAATACCAAACTCTAAATATAATGGAGTTAATGTAGAACCTTCTTCGTCTTCTTCTTTGCTCAATCAGTGCGCTAATGGTGAGAAGAAATCCCCTGTTATTGAGGAAATTCCTAAAACAAATGCCAATAGGAGTGAGAAAAATAAGAATGATAGTGTCATAAAAAAATGTAAAGTCAAATTTGCCTTGTTTAATGAAGGGAATGATATAATAAAAGAAGAAGACTTGAAAATGTCTGAAAATGATCCGATTCCACAGGAAGAAATAAAAGAAGGGATGGAGGATGAATTCTGTGTTGTACCTGTTAGAAGGTGTTCAAGGATTGCAGATAATGATGTTCCACGTATAGGTTCAATTGAAAGTGAGTTAACTATGGATAGAAACACAGAAAACTGGAACACACACAATTCTTGTGAACAAGTTGTTCCCACTATGTCAAACCATGTTAACTCTGCAGTTATAGAATCTTCTTCTTGTAATCCCTCTGGTATGGTTCATCCGGAGACAAAGTCTCAGTCAAACCGAGGAGAAAATTCCATGATTGTTGGAGATAAAATAACTTCCTGCACAGAGGATCGTTCAAACATAAAACCAGAGAGGAAGGTTGAACCAACACAATCATTAACAAGGCGAGTAACAGCTAGATGTACATCACCTTTACATAATATGAGAAGGCAGGGTTTAGTGGCAGTAGATGTGGAAAAGGGTAAACTCTTAGAGGAACCCATCCGTTTAACACTTTATACTCCAGCTTCACTCTCTCGTAGAAAAGGACACGAAATCACAAATCATGGAAATGCCCCGAAAGAGTCCTCAAGGGATTCTTCTCCCTTTTATCGTTCCTATGCAGGAGCGCAAACCCTCTTACCCCAGGAACCACTACGGTCTGCGGGAAAATCATCACCCCCGCAACTAGTACACCTGGCGTCTCTTCATGGTTCTCCAGAATTCACTAAAGTAGAGGAGAATTCAACTATACCCCATCCTGAGTTAAAGATATCTACTGGGTCACCATACACTTCCCCACCTCGAGTTACAAAACTTCCTCCCTTGTGTCATCATCCGAAGCGACTTATCTAAAGTTATGAAAGGAAAAGTTATGGTGTAAAGAGGTTGGAGATGGGTAGAAAAGAAATAAGGGGGGATAACCGAATATTGGAAAGGAACGACAGGAGGAAAGTGTGGAAATGATAGACATGCACATTGTTTTTCCATTTTTTTTTTTTTTAGTGGAGGGGAAATGCAAGAAAATGAGTATTCCAGTTGTTGTTGTTGTTTTTTTCATTTGCTTCTTTTTATTTGTTTTCCCAAGGTCAGAAACCTCACCAAAACAAATCCAAGTATTTTCCTCTTTCCTTATCTGTGTGCAAGCACACTTCCGTATCTTGTGTTCGTGTTTTTTTTTTTTTTTTCCTTCGGTACCTTGTTCCGTTTACTGTGTGTTTGTACTTTGTTTTCTGAGAGTTTGCAAAAGGAGTTATCTAGCTTTACACTTCTTATCTAGTTAAGATTACATAATATTTGTAGTTTTCTCTTTTTTTTTTTGCTTCTTAAATCGGACGTTTTGTTGACGAGCTTGAGTTTTGGAAAGCCCATCCATTCATCCCCATTCCTCCGTATCCAATGTGAGAAACAGAAGAAAAGAACTATCACAGTTTCCCCTTCCCCCTTTTGGTAATGAATGCTTGTGAACATTGGGGAGTCATGTTGGGCTAGTGGTGAGGTGTTTTTTTTTTCTTTCTTTCTTTCTTTCTT